CATATTACTTAAAATGGTCTGAGTTGAACTCAGAACCTTCAGTTTCTTTCACCTATATTCATTAGCATTGTGATTAGGGATGTGAAAGTATAACCGTGTACACATTAGGATCAGTATACTTTAATACATCCTGATTTAGACAACAGTTGGTGTGTCAGATAACTGAAGTATTTAGTATCTGGAAACCAGTTTTTGTTTATTATAGAAGGTCTGTTTTAAATGCACCTGTACTTCAATGACAAGTATTTGGATGAAATCAGTGGGAAACAAAGTTAAACTTTAGTACCCAAAGTTGTATATGAATTTAAAATTTGAATGAAATTTTATACAATACTTTGAGAAGGTGATATTTGAAATTTAAAACTGTTTGAGATTGTCCCATAGAAAATACAATTAGCCACATGCAAACGATGAAAGGGGCACTGTCAGTATATCTAGTCAGCGTGCGAGGAAAAGAGATGAGAAATGAAAATACTACTTCTGTGCCTGGGGCACCCCAGTGAATTTTTCAAGTTCTAAAATTTGTATGTAATTCTTAATAGTGTCTCTTCCCTCTGCTCCTTTTTCTCTGTTAAAAATCCTCATAATCAGAAGTAAGTTTGATGAGGTTTCCATAGTGAAAAGATAAAACTTTACGGAAAGAAAACAAATGCATGTTCAGTTATAATATGAGACTTGTAACACATAGGATGGAAAAATTCCAGACAGCATTATTAAGATGCCCTTTTATATATTTTAATTTTTTAAAACAAATTAGAGTCCTTTTTCCTAGGGTGTCCCTTTGGTCTTGTATTTTGAATGGAGGTAGTTAGGACTGTTCAATTTAATATCTCTGTTTAGTGCCCTTAAATGCATGCTCTTAGCACTAGGTTGTGTGATGATTTTAGTGCTGTTTTAAGTTTGCTTGTATCATTCTTCACCTCCTTGACTCCTCTTACCTTTTTTTAAGTGTTTAGAGTCAGATAAAATTTTTGCACACTTATCGTTATATAAGGTTAAGAATATAAATATAAAAGTGAAGAAATTCAACTTGGACACATTAGATATATTTTAGACATTAACAGCATAAACAGCACAGATGCAAAATGTAGGCAAGCTAAGGGTCTTATGGAAAACTTCAGTACTTGAATTTGGCTTTCGTGATCTCTGCATGATATTTACGTTCAGAAAATTTTTCAGGGTTATGTTGGCAGATGTTGTCCCTGGTAATGCAACTAGAACTACATGGGTGGACCCCTGCTCCCACATAGAATCCCCTTGAAGTCAGTGGAGCTCTACGTAGGAGTACGGTTCTACCTACACAGTTACGGTTGCAAAGTCAGGGCTTTTGGGGGGATCTTTTCTCCCTCTTCCTTTTTCTTGTTATACAATTCAAAGCAAAAGATTGGGAACTGACCTGAAGATATTCTCCTTTATGGAATATGATAAAAGTTGTTCTACTAAAGCTGGTTCTGTCAGTCTTTTTTTCCTGGATGAATTCCATTTTTTAAAAACAGTTTCGTTTAAAAATGGTATTTTTAATATTTAAGAATTGTCTAATCCTTATTTTTCTTAGAAGAATCTACTTTGTCAGTGTTCTAACATCCACTAATTCAAATTAAATGGGTTTCTTCCTGCAAATTGTCAATCAAGCAGAGGCTGCCTGTTACACTTGAGAATTTCTGCACACTCATTCTCCTTCAAGGAATCTGTTGTGATTTCCAGTCTTTTCTTTTCTTTAGCAACAACTGAACATTGCTGCATCACTGCATAAAAAAATGGAAAGAGGTGAAGAGTACAGATGTGTCCTTTTATCTCTTAATAGTATTGTGCTGATTTATGTCCAGAAGTCCTGGAGATATACTGGGCAGCTTCACCTTTTTTTGCCAAAACACTATTCCTTTACCAGTCCTCTCAACATGACTTCCACACTTTTAATGATTCAGTCTAGTATAGCCAGTTTAATCTAATAAATTTAGCAATTCCTCCAGCATCATGACTCCTATTTAATGCCTTTTGCTAATTAGGCATAACTTTTAATGAGGCGTCTATCCACGATATATTCTATTGAATTGTTGACTTGGATTCTTTTCCTCTTTACATTGATGCTAAACCATGAGAAAAATATTCATGTGCAAAACATCAACCATTATCAGACACAGGGATTCGAGTCCTTTCTAGAAGAAAGGTTGCAAAAAATTAGAGTCCATCTGGGATATCTCAATGGGATACTTCTTGTTTGTCATATCTGAAGTGGTTCCTCTGGACCAGACTTTATGGGAGCTCATACCAGTTGTTACTTGCACATGTGGTTTTATTCTGTGGTTTTAGAATGCAAGATTTATTTTCCTCCCTATGTCGAGATCCCTATGAGCACAATAACTAAATTTTTCATGGATTCTATAGTATATAATTACACTTGATTGCTGTGACTTTGGGATGCAGGTTTCAAAGTGAAAAATGACTTAGGATAAAAGTTTCAGAGAAACTGTTTTTCATTAGTCCACAGCAAGTTGGTCCTACTTATCCTGATTTTAAGTTTCAGGATGTTACTTGTCATCTGTGTTCAGAATATAGACCTCTCTTTTGTTGCTTATAGAAACAGAGAGGAATCACGATGGCAGTCGCAATAGTTCTCACTTGGCTCAAGATGAAGTTAATGAAGAACTTATTTTGACTAAACTGACTAGCTGAGATGATATGCCATATTCCCCTTCTCCCACCTAAAAATGTTTGACCATTTTGCCATTAGAACATTATGCATGAGGTCTTTCCTATGTAGATCTGTTCATCTTGGAGGAAACCTGCAAGTTTCTTAAATTTTATAAATTATATCTCTTTTAGAAGGAAAAGATCATTTTAGTCATTTTTTTCTTACCCATTACGTTTATTTCTTTTCTCCTTTTCCTTCATTTCAGCTTTTGTTAGGATCCTAGCATGCCATTCAGACAAGAATGTAGTAACATACAAATGGTTCAGGAAAGGCTTTTATTTGGTACATTCAGATTTAATTGATGGTTCTCATAAACCTCCAAGCTCATAGTTCACCATACCTGACTTAGATCCAGATTAGTTACAAGAGACCAGAAAGAAGACTCTTATTTTTGGGGGGTGGAGTCTTGTATGCAAGGCATTCAGAATAAATTATGTGGGCCAAACACTGTTGTGGAAACTCCTTAAAGACAAAGCTGGCCACATCTATAGACTAAGCACTGGTATATATTCACCACTGAAGAAGCTGAACATCCACAAGATAGGATCAGTTTTCTTTTTTGTGGCTCCCTGAAAAGAATGTATTTAGCTAGTGTATTTTATTCTGTAACTTTTGTAGAAGTTTCATGAGAAGAATCCATCCAAGCTAGCTTTCCCACAAGAGTGGAAATGCTTGATTTAATATTTCCTCTGAATTTCACCAGATCCAGGAAATAATTCTGCCCAGTAATTGCCTCTCCAAAAAGAAAAAAATATTAAAATGTTTTAGGCTTTTAAGAGGGACCCTGAAGTTGTGTTTAAGGAGGACTCTGCAAGGCTTATTTCTGGGCAGAAGTTACCTGCCTACTTTATCATAATCATGGCTTTCTCATTGAACAAAAAGGTGAGCAGCCTTCCTGCTCCCCCCCCCTCCAAAAAAATCAGTAAAGCGGACTACATTGTTGTATCTACACATTCATCCCCCCTCCCCCCCCCCAAATCAGTAAAGCGGACTACATTGTTGTATCTACACATTCACTAAGCTTAAATTAATTCTGCTTTCCTCAGCCAATTTGGTATTAAGATGGCTCTCTTGAAGGACTAATCTGTTTTTATTTTCTGTCTTTCCTGTGAGATACTTCTGTTAAGAATTCTTTCATTCATAGTGGAGTAGCAAATTGCATAGAGAGAGAACATAATTGCATAATTGTTTGCTGTGTTCCATTTTACTTACCCAGAAACATCTCAGTTTTCTGGGAAAAACTGTTTAGTGAGAGGAAGTATAATACAGTGATTTAAAGGGACTGGGAGTAAAGAAGAGGCTTTGTCATGGATATGTGTAAACCTGTGCCTCAGCTTCCTAACTGGTAATATAAGTATATTAGTGCCTACCTTATAGGAATTTTGAGGCTTAATTCAGTAATGTTTGAAAAAACATTGCCTATGTTGGAAGGTACTATGGAAGTGCAAATTAATGTGTGAATTGAATTCCATATTTTTTGTAAGTTTACAGGCTTGCCATATTTAAATAAAGAATTTTTGTGTGTCTTTAAAAGACAGTGCAAAAAGTTCTTGATGGGGGAGTGTAGAAAGAGAGTATCTGAAGAGGTGCTGCAGAAATGAAAACTCAGCGTGGTGATGGGTCACCTCTGCTTGATTGACAGGTTTCAGGGAAAAACAAAAACCCATTTGTTCTGGCTTAATGGAACTGGAGAACAGAAAATGAGTATCAGGTAAAAATTCCTTTTTTAAAATTTTTGCAGTTCTCCTTTTAAAAACTGGAGTTAAAACCACATAAATCTAAAATCTCAAAAAAAAGTAGGAATTTTAGAAGCAGGCCTCTAATCTTTATAATATGGGTTGATTTATTCAGTGCATATCCTAGTGGAGAAATGTTAACATCACAAAAATACCATTGCAGTTGATGCTGATTGACAAATATAACAGGCAGAAAATAGAATCAGTGTAGTGACTGAAACTGTGACCTGGATGCAACTCTTAGATTAATGTATTATCAGGATATCTAGAGGGAAAGTTTTGTTCTCATCCTTGTTCTATGCCTGCTCTCGGTTAAAGTTAGTCCGTTTCTACTGCTGTTAATGTGGCATATTTTATGAGTACTATAACAAAAGTAACTGACAAGTAAATTTCACTGAAAAGTAAGCCATACTAAATCTGTCATCTAATAGTATACTGTCTTTAGATTTTTTTTATGTACATTTCAACATCAGCACCACAAGTTTGAGATTATAACTTAGTATAATATGTCTCCCTGGTTTTTGATGATTGGTATTTTGTTTTTTGGGGGGGGTTACCTTAATGTATTTCAGATTGAAGGACAAGGACATGGGGCAGTTTTTGATTGCAAGTGTTCTCCTGATGGCCAGCATTTTGCATGTACTGACTCTCATGGTCACCTTCTGATTTTTGGCTTTGGCTCCAGTAGCAAATATGACAAGGTTAGTGCAAACTCAAAATATCCTTTTCACTGTTTAAGTAAAAAAATTATTTTGTATGCTTTTTGTTGGAAAAAAACTTCTTCCCTTTTATTTTCTCTCTCCCCCTCTCTTTTTCTCCCCCTCCTCCCCCCACCAGCTTATACAGTATGGTATGTTTCTATTACTTGGTGCTGCTTGGTACATCCTGTTCAGCAGCAACCATGTCAAGTTTACCTGCATAAAACAAAAGGAATAGATATACATTTAATAATAATAAACATTGGAATGCATGGTGCTTTATGAAGCAGGTTGCATTTATATACTACAATGAAAGCATGGAAGAACATTTTGCAGAGTAGTAGTGGGGAATGTTGCTGGGCCTGGGCCAGCCCTTCTGGGAACTGGAGAGGAAACACTATGCTCCCAGCTGCACCCTCAGCCTTGCTCCTTCCTCCGTGCCTTTCAGCTCCCAGTTCTGCTCTGCCTCCAGACAGATCTGCTCACACCCCTGTTTTTTCCCCAGCCCCAGTTCCACTCTTCCTGCTGCTCTGTCCCCAGCTCAGCCCTCATTCCGTCTCTGCTTCCCTAGCAGCTCTACCTCTAGTCCCAGCTCCTCTTCATTCCTCAGCTCTCCCTCCCCGAGTCTTGCTGTTAAGAAATCATTGTCCGTGCAGTAGTGTCTGTGTGTGGGGAGGTAGGGGTGTGGACAGATTCCATTGATGGTAAGGGAGCATGGCTGCAAAATGTTTTTGATGGTAAGGGAGCATGGCTGCAAAAGTTTGCTCACCATTGCTGTAAATCTACTGTATGTTATAGTAATGTAATTTTAAGTAGGTTGGGTTAATTTGGGCAATTCTGGATACTTCCTTATGCTTATATAGGCTCTTAGTAATTACAGCTTGACTATAATGTGGCTTAAATCAGGATTTGTATAAAACAAACTTTTTGAAATATCTTCTCTGATAAAGATTTTAAGAATTTAGTTGTGTGTATTAACACATGGTGTGGAAAAATATCAATACTAAAATGTTGTAAATAATTTCCAGATTATCTCCATTTCACCTAAAAATGCAATATCATAACTAATAGTGAGATGTACAATACATCAAAACTTGTAAACTACCTAACACAGTTTTATGCTGCTTTTTGCCAAGCATTTGTGTTTTTAGAGGGAGGTTAAGGGTTTTATTCCACTATGCAGGACAGTACAAAAATGACTCATAAATGGGGAAAACTTAAACACATTGCATATTCCCCTAGAAAGGTGGTCACATAGCTCACTTCATTTTTACAAAAGTATGCATATGTATGAACCACTTGTTAGGAAAAGACATTGAATACTTACTGCAGAAATCTTTGAATATTTCTATTTGTAATCAGTTTTGTGTCTTGTAATTAATCAAAACGTATGTTTACGTTACAGATAGCAGATCAGATGTTTTTTCACAGTGATTATCGGCCTCTTATTCGTGATGCCAACAACTTTGTCTTAGATGAACAGACACAGCAAGCTCCTCATCTCATGCCTCCCCCATTTTTGGTTGATGTTGATGGCAATCCTCATCCATCAAGATACCAGAGATTAGTTCCAGGTCGTGAGAACTGCAGGGATGAGCAGCTTATTCCACAGATGGGGGTGACTTCATCAGGTATATAGAATTTAAGTTCAGTATGCTATAGCATACATGAGCTTTGAGTATTGAATTCATCATATGGAAAGTATAGTGCAGTGATTCATGTGTGATTTAATAGAATTAACATGAATAGAACTTCAAAATATTGCAGCTATGTTGATCACATGAATTAAGAAAAAACCCTCCTTTTTTGTTGTAGTAAATCTTTATCCTAATTGACAACTAAAAAGGGAAGAAGTAATGATGAGTGAAGATGTGGTACTGGTTGCGAAGGGAACTGCCTCTAAGAGCTGAGAGTCTACACTTAGTTGAGGAGAAAAATATCAGATGAGATTAGGGATTTGACTTGCTTAGGAAAACCTCATCTGGAATCAAGGAAATGCCGGCTAGTCATTCAGTAAGACTAATTCCTCAAATGATTCCTCATGTCCATTCCACATGGGTGTGTATGCAGCACATCATCAGAAATTTTCCCTGAGCAGTTGGGCTAGCAGGAGAGCCCCCTGAAGTGGTGCCGCTATATTGGCTAGTATATATCCCTGCTGGCCCTCCACCCTCTCAGTTCCTTCTTACCACTTGTGATGGTCATTGGAATGTGTTTTTGCTCTTGCTCTGCAAGCGCCTCTTAGCAGTTTTCTCTTCTTGTTCAGTTAAAGTTTCACAGTTCATTGTTCTTACCTAGTTGTTAAGTGAACTACTTAGTGAAGAAGTACTGTGGCACGGGGCTCGCTTCGTGTCTGGTGGGGCAAGGCTTCAAGCCCTGTGAGAAGTGCCAGAAGCCTATGCCCTATGGGGACTCCCACGGAGCCTGTCTCAAGTGCCTCAGTGAAGCCCACCTGTCCGAGCCATGAAAGCTCTGCAGGGGCTTGAAGCTGTGTTCCACGTGAGAAGGAGAGTCTTGCTTAAAGATCATTCACATGGAAGTGGCCCTGTGCCTGGCACTGGTGTCTGACGTGGCACCGAAAACACAGAGCACACTGGCTTCAGTGCAGGAAGCACCTATCTACTCGTGCACTTTTCCAGTGCTGCGTGTGCCTGTGCACCAGTCCCGGTTCCCAGTGCCCCAGAAGAAGAGGAGACCTTTCCTTGAGGTATGTTCTCTCCGTGCACCCTCAAGCGGGGCATGTAGCACCGGCAAGCATGGCACCACTCTAGCTCTTGCCAAAACTTCAGCCTTGCAGGGAGCTTCCTGGAATCCTCCACTCCGGACACTTTCAAGGTGGCTAGAGACCTGATTGGGCTGACCTTGTCTCTGACTGCAGCACTGGGCCCAGCCAAGGAACGTGATATCAGGCAGCACTGGTCCTCAGCCACAGCACCCTGGCCCCAGATGTGAGGGGGCATCGTCGCCTCACCCTGGCGCTGTTGACTTTGACGGCACCACCTCCAGTGACTGTACCAGCCTCTGCTCCCACCCAAACCTATGCATCAGCACCAGCACCGGACTTGGCATCAACGCAGGGTCCCCGTGTGGTACCGACCCTGGTGCCAGGTCCTCCAGCTGCTGGCTTCTCTTCATTGAGTGGACCGGCACCACCTCCTGCCATACCTCCACCTCGCCTTCGGCACCGAGGGAAGCTGAAGTCCATGGCCCAGCATGCCCTGAGACCAAGGTTGCCAGCCGCCAGTGCCATTTCACCACCCTGATCGACTTCTGAGTGTTCGACCAGTTCGGATGTGGAATTGGTCTAATTGTTGCAGAGCTCTAGTTGATGTCATGGCACTGATGCTACTACCTCCACCAGTCCCGGCACTGTGCATCCTGGCCACAGTCTTCTTCAGTACCAGTCGTGCAGCTGTCCTCACCGCCATAACTGCAGGCCCTGGTTCAGTGGTCATTTTGGACCCCCTTTGGGCCAGGGTGTGGTCTCCTCTTGTCAGCCGATGGTCAGGGCAGTGCGTGGTGTGTGTGTTATACACCCGAGTCTTCAACTGCTAGGACACGAAGTCCTGTCGCAGCGGGCGGCCTTAGGGGAGGCCGATGGGAGCCCTGAGAAGTTTTAAGTCCATGTCTTTGACCGCTAGGACCGGGTCCCTTTGCGGCGGGGAGGCAATAGGC